GAAAGCGCACTTTCTCCCCCAGTCGGTAGGGATGGCCACCATCTATAAGCTCTTTTGGCACCATTTTTGGTTGTTCCCAATTATTCCTTGGCACTCAGGCTTGTTTTTGTTTGTTTGTTTGCTTGGAGAGTTTTTTTTGCTGTAAGGCGCGTGCACTCACCAGAAAGACAGAGAGAGCCAGAGAGACAGAAAGCGAGAAATCACCCTCCAGGGGGTATGGCCACGCCACAATCCCTTGTCCTCCATTCTCCTCTCGGGATCTTGGGTACACACACACGCACCCAGCATGAATTTAAGCCACCAGGTCCAGGACTCGAACCGCGGTCGATGGGCACTAAGCCTTATTTTTATAGTCAGACCAAAGCTTCTTGAATGAGAGTCTGTGACCCTAAGCACATAGCAGATACTCACTAAATGCTGAGAACAACTACCCCTTAGGATTCAAAGGGCCCAAATAGTTCCCCTAGTAACTGAGATTTGAAGTTTTAAGGGAAATGGCCCGATACCTATGGTTAAACTGAGGCACAGAGAAAGACAAACCTATTGAGGCTGAACACATGTGAGGGTGGGATGAGGAGGGATCCTTACTTATCATCTGGAGTCACATGAATATTTATAGCACATCCCCAGGTTGATATAAAAGAGAAATGAGAGGCAGGACAACCTGAGCCCTCCCAGCTGCCTGACAGCTGTACAAGCAGGGGCCCCTCCAGCTAATCTGGAGTGTTTCACTAACGGCTTTTGTCCCCTCCTCCCTGGGCTAGCACAATGGGACCATCTATCCTGGAAACTAAATCTCTCTCTGATCCCACCAGGCCAGCCCTGGCCCCAGAAATTAGGCCCAGAAATGGTCACGGACAGGTAGATACTCGGAGGGGAGAGAAAGGAGCACCATTGTTCCTGGCTCCATAAGGTCCAAGGGAACCAGTGCTTCAAGCATCCCAGCCAAATAAAAGCTCCCACACAATGGCTGCTGGCCTCTGGGAGGGAAAGGCTGTCGGCCGCCCATCCGCTCACCCACAGGGCAGGAAGTCTGCGCCCTGGGGAGTAGGGGCCCCACACTGCCCACCTGCCCTCAGCTCCTCAGGCCATGGCCTGTCTTGGTGCTCCAAGCCTCTCTTCCTGCAGAGCAGAACTGGGCCCCCATGGGGAGCCCTGCCTCGGTCACAGTCCTCACCCACCCAGGCCCTTTCTGTTCCCACAACTGCAGGGCAAGAGCAGCAGCCTCAGCCTTTGATGATCTTCAGGACCTCTGAGAGAGCAATTACCCCCCTTTCCCATGCTCTAGTGGGTCATGAGAAGGGAGGTGGAACCCAAACTATACAAAGAGCAGCCTCCAAGGGGGGCCCTCGTGTCTTCAGTAGAAGCTGCTGATACTCCCTGGCCAGAGCTTGAGTCTGGGTCAGAGGTCAAAGGTCAAAAGTCAGGCCATGTTAATTTGACTAAGAGAGCTGGGATGGGTCATGGGCTTACTAACAGTAAAGTTCTGGGGACCTGGGGAGGAGCACCAGAGGAGGTGGCTGGCCTCCCTATCCTGGTTCTCCAGGGCTTAGAAAGCACTTCCTACCCACTCTCTGCAGCTCTCCACGTGGTCTTGTATAGCTTCAGATCTGAGAAACAACTAGACCCTGAACTCAGCACACTTCCTTCTGGGCAAGCCCTTGGGACACCAGTGTAGAAAGTACTCTCCACGCTACAGTAAAAACATCTACTTTTCCGACTCTTCTGAAGGCTTCCCCTAGTTTTCAAGGGAAGCCTCCCACTCTCCTTGGGGAACGAGCTCTTCCCCACCCTCCCCACTCTGTTCTAACTGTGCTGCCTTCACCCCTACACCTCAGAGGTCAGTTTCATTTTTGTCATAGCCCCAAGCAGCAGCCCCTCCACCCCCAGGTCAATTGAGTTGATCCTCTCAGAACCCTCTAGTGAGGCCAGACCAGCCAGTGGGTCTGGTAAGGTCTTGCCAAGAGCACACAGTGGCTCAGAACTCGCACATGTGGGGTCCCACTCAAGCAGCAACCTTGGGGTCTAGCCAGGGGTCATGGCCCCACCAGGACACCCACTCACATGAATGCTGGGGTCACTCCTGGAGTCGCATTCCTAGCCCTATGTGAGGACCCATTTGGAACCATAGTATAAAGCTTGCAGGCCAGACAACAGAGCAGAGGTAAAATGCTATGGTCTGTGAGGCTGGCCCATCCATGTGGGCAGGCTCCAAGTCCACGTCTGGAGACAGACCTCCCTGAATATGCTAGTCACACCCGTGCTCAAGATGCGGACTGGCTGAGGCTGGGGTGGGCCCCCTGCTGGGGTGCTGTCTCTCTGTCTTTCTCTGTCTGTCTCTCTTGCTCACCAAAGAAATAAATAAACTTTAAAAATTCACTTTAATCACGAGAAGAGAACCGAGGAGAAGGGATTGCGGCGTGGCCATCCCCCCGGGGGGTGATTTCTCGCTTTCTGTCTCTCTGTCTCTCTCTGACTGTCTGGCAAGCACATGCGCCCTATAGCAAAAACCTCTCAAAAAAAAAAAAAAATTCACTTTAAGATAAAACTTAAAAATCAACAGATACAAAAACGAAGCTTTCTCATCGCTTCCCTTATCTGACTAAAAGCAGCAACTTCTGGGAAATGAGGCTGCCTGGAATCTTCTCTCAGGGGAACGTCATGGTCATAAAGAAGATGGAAGGCCACTGGAGCCTGCGTGAGCAAACATCACTAACGTTTTACTCTCCATTTGTTTCCCTAAAGCCTGTTCGTCTTTCCTAAAGAAAGCTATTTGTCCTTCCTATGGAAGCCTTTTCTCCCTACTAAATTAGATATGTAAGCCCGTAATTAAAAACAATTTTTTAATTTGCCAGAGGCCATGTGCACTCACCAGAAATAGAAAGTCAGAGGGAGAGGGAGAAAGCACTCCCCGATGAAGGGGATCATGCTGTAATCCCTTCTCCTCCGTCCCTCTATGCTGTTGGGATCTGGGGCACACAGACGCATCCAGTGTGTGTGTGCGTGTTTTGTTTTGTTTTGTTTTGTTTGAGAGGTTTTTGCTATAGGGCATGTGTACTCGCCAGAAAGAGAGAGACAGAGAGACAGAAAGTGAGAAATCACCCCTCAGGGGAGATGGCCACACCGCAATCCCTTCTCCTCCATTCTCCTCTCGGGATCTTGGGCATGCACGCACACGCACCCGGCGTGAGTTTTAGGCCACCGGGTTCAGGATGTGAACCGCGGTCGACTACGTGGGAGTCCAGCGACATAGCCATTATGCTAACTGCTGGTCCCCTGTTTTCTTCAAGTTGTTGAGGCCAGGACTCCAGTCACACAGTTGGCTATGGGGGATCTGGCTCCCTTAACCCCTAGGCCACAGGGCCAGCCATATGATCCCAGTTTTAACCACCCCTTTGAGTTACTCATCACCGAGCACTTCCGTATGCAAGGAAGTGTCTTTTGTCAGTTTAATTCACAGACCTTCCAGGGCTATACAGAAAAGGGTAGAGAAAAAGTCAGTCTTCCTAACACATGGGTCACCAGCTACGAACAGCACCGCCCAGCACCAGGCATTAGGAAGACAGTGAGCCCTGAAGTGGACAGAGCTACGCCCAGATCCCGGCCGCCCACTGGCCAGACGTGAGACCAGCAAGTTACAGCCTGTCCTCTGGCCCTCAGTTTCTGTGTTATGAACATTGAGATTACTCAGAGCTTTCACGGGGTTATGGGGTGATTTCAGTACCAGAGGTCAAGTGTAGAAAGAATCTGGCTCTCGCTGACTGAGCAAAACAGGATTGCAACGATCGTGACAATAATGTCTTTGCAAGTGTCTGTGGACTACAGAGACTACGTTAGCTTTCTGGCCTTGCTATTTCCACAGTCTGTCTTTTTCTAATTATTTTGTAAGAGGGTATGTGCACTTATAAGAGAGAATGAGAGACAGAGAGGAAGAAAGGTCTCCCCAGTAAGGCGTGGTCATGCCACAACCTCCTCTCCTCCATTTCTCCACCCTGTCAGGCTTGGAGGCATGCACACATGTGCCTGGCATGTTTTTCAAGTCACTGCAGGCAGGATTAAAACCATGCCTTCAGCCACGTGGTATAAGCTTCCTTAACTGCTAGGCCACACAGCTGGCCCTCCACATCAAGTCTCTTCACCCAGACCGTCCCCCATCCTTCCCAGCGCCACAGCTCCAGGCACCCTAACAGAGGCGTCTGGCCAGAAGAGAAAGGGTGCAGGGCCCACCCCGCACTGTCATGCCTTTTCTTTCTGGTCTCCCCCATCTCTGCTCCTCTGGCTCAGAGGTGCTTACCAGTAGCCCATAGGCCAAATGTGGCAAGTAGGTATGGGGGAGGTTTTGGTATTCACGGTGTTTTTTAATTTTAACATTAAAAATGAGGACTATTCACTTAGATATCTAGATTTAAATTTTCTACCATAAGTGTTTTAAAAACAGTAAAACTACTCTTCTAACTTCTCTTGAAAAACTTCCTGCGATAAGAGCCTTGCCTCCTGCAGAACAGCCATGCCAGCAACTGAGGATCAGCTGCCCGCTTTGGCATGGGGTCTGCTTCACCCACTCTCAAAACCTGCCCAGGACCCTCACTGTCCTTGCCTGGCTGCTCTCTGTGAACACCGGAGGCCCGTGGCAGGGTCCCGGGAGCCCCCTTCACAGACTAACAGCTTATTGGCTGTCTCCATAGCCTGGGATTGGGCATTTTCTCCAGAGGATGAGTCTCAAGGAATTCCTCTCAACCCTAAGGTAAGCAAGGCCCCAGGCCATGCTGACGGCCTGCAGGCCACCTCAGCAGAGGTCTGTGCAGCTGAGAGCAGGCTGCAGCAGAACGATGTCAGACCTGCTTGGGCTCATTATACCATAGAACCTGGAGACTGAGGGCGTGCCTGCCAGGCTAAGGAGCAAGCAGTGGTGCCTCCAAGTGGAGGAACCCGCCATTTGGACCAGCACCGGTGGCCTGTCCACCCCACCCCACCCCAGACCCAGGACATGGGACACTCACGATGTTCATGAGGGTGAGGACGTAGCTCTGCACGTGCTCCTTGCCATGGAAGCGAACCACCGAGTCATCCACCGCCAGCAGCACCTCCATGCTGTAGCTGCCTGGCTTGGCATGTCGTCGCTTCCGCTCTGCTTCACCTAGCTGGTCCCCCACCAGGCCCAACAGGTTGGGAAGGTCACCCAGGCCAAAGGCTGGAACCCAGACAGGAAGAGAGCAAGATCAGATCCACCTGAGGGTCTGTCCCTGTGATGTCACCCACCAGCCTCCTCTGCCACCATCACGTGTGCCCTTTTTGCTGCCCCATAGGTCAGTGTAGCATGGGCAGTTGCAGCATAGCAGGCCAGCTGGTAGGCTGAGCCTGTTTCCTGGCGCAAGGGCATGGCCAAGCTTATAAAGCAATGCGTAGCAGAGGAGTAAGAACTGGCCCAGAGCGGGAGCCTGAGTTCGTAATTGTTCTCGCTCACTGTGCTTCCTGGACCAGGTCCCTTCTCTACTCTCCTGCAGCATGCATGAGTAATCCTTCGTCTCTTGTCACACAGGCTGCTGTGAAAAGCCAAGGAGGCAGGGAGTGAAAACATCTTGATAAAGAAAAACCATGTTGTTACTATTACTACAGCCTCATATAGTTACTGCATGGCCTATGCGGGGTCTTCTAGAAAGCCATGGAAAATGCCTCTGCCTCTCAAAGCCCTCCCAATCACTGCCAGAGACCCAAAATTTCACCATCATATCTTGCCCTTTTGGCTAAAACCAAACTATTTACTTATTTAACTAGCATTTATTAACTTGCATTATGTAATCTGTGGGCTATCACACCTTTTCTGTCCATTCTTTTTTTTTCTGAATGGACAAATTAAATGTGCCATGTCATATAGTGGAATATTACTCTGCCCTAAAAAGGTATAAAGTATTAATACAGGCTATAACATAGCTGAAGCTTGAAAAAAATGCTAAATGAAAGATGTGAATCACAAAAGGCCATAAATAACTATTCCATTTATATGAAATGTCCTAAACAGGAAAATCTGTAGAGATCGAAAATCTGTAGAGATTGAAAATCTGGTGGGCGCCAGAGGGCTGGAGAGGGGAAAGCCTGAATGATACTAATGGATACAGGGTTGTCTATGGGTTGATAGAAATGTTCTAGAATTAGATGGTGATAATTTCCTAACATTGTGAATATAGTAAAAACAAAAACAAAACAACAAAAAAACTGAATTGTGTGCTTTCATGTGTAATTTTTTTTTTTAATTTGCTACAGGGTTCATGTATTTGCCAAAGAGAAAGACAGAAAGTGAGAAAGCACTCTCAGAGAGGTGGCCATGTCACAATCCCGTCTTCATTCTTCTCTCAGGGTTATGGAGCATGCATGCATATGCATCCCATGTCCCTTGCAAGCTGCTGGGTCTGGGACTTTGTACCACACAGTCAGCCACATGCAATCCAGCCACCTTAACCAGCACACCACTGGCTGGCCCTAAAATGGTGAATTATATCTCATTTAAACGAAAAAAAAATTTAAATACAGCCCTGAGCCCAGCCTGGCTGGCTGGCTGCCCCGAAGGGATGGCTGCCACAGAAGCCATGTCTGTTCATGGCCCAGGAAGGGACCTGAAGGGTAGGACAGCCCTACAGAGCAGGACCATGGGCTGAAGGAGTAGTCGAGGAGCAGGGAGCACTGGGGCACAGCCTCAGAGGCCAAGGCAGGGTGACAGGGATGCTCCGAGGGCCTGGGCAGAGCTAGCTCTTATGCACACCAGCAAGGGAGCGTCTGCCTCTAGGTTCTAGACGGTCCCCCCTTTTCACCAGAGGCCCTGAGGAAAGAGTCACTTAACTCTTCTTTGGGGTCCATCAAGGATGTGTGTGAGTGTGTGATGTGAGCGTGTGTGAGAATGGAGGTGTTTGCATGTGTGCTTGAGAGTGTGTGAGTGTAGCTGGGTGTGTTAATGTGTGCATGGGCAGATATGGAGTGTGTGAGTGTGTACGTGTGAAGAGGGTGTGTGGATGTGTGAGTATGGCACAGGCATGTGGTGAACGGGGGAGGGTAGATATGAGTGTGCAGGGGCCAGCATGTACATATAGGGATGAGAGCATGTGTGTGGATAACATGTTAGCCTATGAGAATATGTGAGCTATGTAAGTGTGTGTGAATATGGCGGCATGAGTGTCTTGGGCGCATGGAGATGAGGTGTGAGTGTGGGGGCAGTGTGAGTGTGGGGGTGTGTCAACATGTGAGTGTGGGTATATGGGTGAGTATGTGTGTGTGTGTGTGTGTGTGTGTGAGTGTGTGTGTGTGTGTGTGTGTGTGTTGTGTACCCCCTCTTCAGAAAGCAGCAGCCAAAGCCATCCTAAGTGCCAAGAAAAATGGTCTCCACAACTTCTTAGTCCCTGGGGGTCAGATCCTTCACATCAGAGGCAGGCAGGAAGGCCCCCTACAACCCCTGGTCAGCAAGAAGGCCTGATGGGCCTCTGATGCCCGTCCTTCTCCAGGAGGGTCAGACACCCCCACAGGGAAGAGGAGCTCCTGGCTGTGACACTCAAATGATGAAGACCTGGTATCTACCCTCCAGGCCCCCAGCCTGGGGCAGAGCAGGAGAGTTCCAGGACGTGAAGACCAAGGTGCAGGGACACCTGCTCAGGATGGAGACAGGCAGAGATGGGGGTTGGGGGCAGCCTGAGCAAACCTGAACAAACCCCTTCTGCACTGCGAGGCCAGGTCTGGCAGCGCCGGGGTGTTGGCGGCATTTCCCCACATGCCCGAAGCACACCCAAAGAGCTAAGGTGAAACTCTGTCTTACTCAGGCATGATAGAGGAGATGGACACACCCACGGCCCTAAAAGAGTGTGAGTCATGGGTCTCCAAGATGGTCCTCCATTGCCACCACCCCCTGCCTTTCTAAGGAAGACCCCAGATGGGCCATGTCTCCCTCAAGAGAGTGTAGACTTTTCAGTTTCTAGTTAGGGGTCCACAGTGGCCAGCCGTGATGCTGGCTCCAGGCTCACAGCCCTGGAGCATGACTTCTCCAAAGTCATTCCCAAAAGGGAGGATTCACGGTCCTTTAGTTCAGAAATGGCTTAAAAATTAAAATAAATAAATAAACAAAGTTAAAAAAAAAAAGCAAACAAAAACTGTATCATGTGTTTCTTTAAAAAAAAGAGAGAGAGAGAGAGAGAGAGAGATGGCTTCATATTAAAATGAGCCCAAGGGAGACTTACGTTCTACCTAAGTGTGGCAGAGGAATAATGCTGGCCACCAGGCCTTTGCTCCTACCCAAGGCCAGGAGAGCCCTCCCAGCTCTGGAGCTGCAGCTTCTCCTTGAGAGACATTTGGAGAGTAGCTGGACCTTCAAAGGAGATACCATAAGTGGGGACAACTGGTCTCCAGGCATTCCTCCACACTAGGCCCAGCTCCTCAGGGCCCTGGCACGAGGGTGTGTCTGCCTATGGCCAGATTCCACTCCTGGAGCATGACTTCTCCAAAGTCATTCCCAAAAGGGAGGATTCACGGTCCTTTAGTTCAGAAATGGCTTAAAAATTAAAATAAATAAATAAAGTTAAAAAAAAAAAGCAAACAAAAACTGTATCATGTGTTTCTTTAAAAAAAAGAGAGAGAGAGAGAGAGAGAGAGATGGCTTCATATTAAAATGAGCCCAAGGGAGACTTACGTTCTACCTAAGTGTGGCAGAGGAATAATGCTGGCCACCAGGCCTTTGCTCCTACCCAAGGCCAGGAGAGCCCTCCCAGCTCTGGAGCTGCAGCTTCTCCTTGAGAGACATTTGGAGAGTAGCTGGACCTTCAAAGGAGATACCATAAGTGGGGACAACTGGTCTCCAGGCATTCCTCCACACTAGGCCCAGCTCCTCAGGGCCCTGGCACGAGGGTGTGTCTGCCTATGGCCAGATTCCACTCAGAGCCTTCTCAGCTCCTCTTGGTCCAAGGGGCTTTGTAACAAAGCTGTTTGACTATGAAGCTGTCCACAGGCCCCAGACTCGCACCTGTCACATCCACTGTTTCATTTGCTCAACCACAGGTCCTGTGCTGGTTACCAGGGTGCAAGGATGTCCCTGTCCTTAAGGGGCTTCTGCCCTGACATGTCAGTACTTACCATTAATAATAATACTGTAATTAGAGCTACCATTTATCAAGCACTATGTCCCACGCTCCCAGCTGAGACTTTCATATACACTGTCACCAATATGTGTAAGAACCTCAGCAGGGAGACACTAGTTATCCCCACTCAACTGATTAGAAAAATGAGGCTCAGAGACATTAAGAAACTTGCCTAGGGTCGCACAGTAGAGAGTTGAAGACTGAATTTTAAAATGGTCTATTGGACACAAGCTGACCAAAATGCCCTGGTACCAGGCAGACTCCTACGAGTAATATAAGAACATCCTTTTCATGGCCCCTAGGGGTCGAGTTGAGTTTTAGGAAGATGACCTCATTGCAGCCATTCCACCTTGTTGGCCTTGATTGAGCAATAGCCTTGAAAAGCATGCTGAGTCCCTTGGAGACCTCTGGAATCCCAGAGACCACAGTTCTGGATACAAGTAGCCCCTTGGGTCATTGGAAAAACAGAAAAAATATGTCATAACTTTTCTGACAACTCAATAGTTATAGTGGCTCCCAAAACCTGTTGGAGTTTACCTGTTGGCACAGTAGGACTGCATGGCTCTGTCCCATCTTGCAGATGAGAAGGCCGAGGCCAGGCATTAAGAGTTTAGGACCAGAAGTGACCTAAGACACCCTGGAGGTGTGGACGAAAGCAGTGCTTGGGCCCCTGACCCACCTACCTTCGTTGTGGAGGTCCCCATGGGGCTCCGCCCACTCCTGCTGGATGGCTTCCCAGCGGTATACCACGTGCGTCCTCCCTCCAGCCTCCTGCTCCTGCTGCCCGCGCTCCAGGGGCTCAATGAAGTAGTCGGTGCTATCCGTGCGGATCAGGCCAGCCTGACCAGAGGCAAGGCGAACCAGAGAAAAGAGAGAGAGGAGGTGTGAATACACAGGGCACGCCCAGGTGGGCACTCTGGATGCAAGCATGTGTGACCACACACCTGTACAGGCTCTTTCTGCAGGGCTGTAATGCTTCATCAGGGCCTTAGAAATCCCTGGGATTCCAGAAAGTTCCACAGAGACCCAGGCAGGGAGGTTGAGCGGGGGGTCTATCCTATCCCCATTTTAAGCAAAGCAGATCCACTTCTACCATGTTATGTACCCCGAGGTTCCACATAAAATTTCATTTAAACAAAGGGTCCCATTGATTGAAAAGGGCGGAGACAGGAAAGCCACTGCCACAGGGATATGGAAGGCACTGTATTCCAGCCCGAAGCCCTTGGCATGGATCTGGCTTTCCTGACAGGCAGACAGGAGGGGGAAATTGCAGCAGCGCAGATCGGTTACCCTCAGGTGCTGGGCCCCACGCCTTACAGAGCCATTACTCTCGATTTCAAGCACGTGTCCACGCACACCAGTGGGGCAGCTCACTGATGAGAATGAGCCAGGACAGTGCGCCAGGGCTGCATGCTCTGGTTTTAATCTAATTCTTTGCCTCTGTCAAAAGAGCCCCTTAAAAAAGTCAGGTGTTGGCCTTGGAACTAAACACACAAAAATAAAACCTTGGCAAAGCCCAGCAGATGTGTTATTAGCCCCCAGTGACGGCAGTAATCACAGCGGCCAGTGAAACATGTAACTAGATGTAAATTAATGTACATGGGCCTGACTAGTCACATGTGCACATGCACGTACACACACGCGTCATCTCTTTTTTTCAAGAGAGATGTTTGCTATAGAGCACATGTGCTCTCCAGAAACACACAGAGAGACAGAGAGAGAGAGAAAGTAAGAAATTCCATTCCCCATCCCCTCTAGGGGAGGATGGCCATGCCGCAATCCCTTTTCCTCCATTCTCCCCTTGGGATTTTGAGCACACATGCACACGCACCTGGCATGAGTGTCAAGCCTCCAGGTCTGGGACTTGAACCACAGTCAACCATGTGGGAGTCCAGCACCTTAACCACTATGCCACCTGCCAGCCCCCACCTCTTTAAAGCAGTAAGAACAGCTCACCTGCCAAAGGGCATGGAAAATAGCAGCAATAGTTAACAAATAAATATCTGCTTGGGGCCAGAAGGTAGTGTGGTGGTTGAGGCTTGGACTTCCACATGGCTGACCGCAGTTTGTGTCCTGGACCTGGCAGCTTGCTTCCTTGCTTTCCCTTTCTCTCTCTCCCTGTCTTTTTCTGGTCAAATTTAAAAATAATAGCAAATGGAATTAAATAAATAAGTAATTATTTTTTAAAATCTGCTGCATTCACTCATCATCCAACACTGTAAACTGAGGGCCTATTGCATACTGGGCGCTGCGATTGTTGCCATGAACATAAAGCAGAGGATGAAGGCACCATTTTTATAACGCCGCTGGACCGGCTCCATTCAAATCGTAGCTGCCCCTCTTCAAGTAGCCTCTTTATGCAACTCATTTCCACCAGTTTCCCACCTCTACCTGTTCTGAAGTCATGGGCCAGGGTGTGAAAACATGGAGGACAGTGCCGGGACCCAGGGAGGCCATAGGCTATGACAGAGGCCGAGCCCAAACCTGGACAGGAAATGGCAGCCGAATCTGAGGGCCTCTGTTCCTGTGGACCTGTAGAATCCCCGGAAGGAGGCCTGTCTCCTGAGGTACACCAGGGCTATAGGGCAGGAGGGCTGGTTGGCGGCCTCCGGGCCCAGGGTACACCTCCAGAGCTACCGCAGCTCTGTTGTCACAAGGCCTGTGAGACTATCAGCCAAGTCCTAGGCCCCTGCACCCGATCCTCCTCCCTCTGGCTGCCCCCACAGGACAAGTAAAGCAAGGGACGCTCAAAGCACAGGTCAGAGGCCCCGCTCCACTCAGACCAAGGTCACACAAGCAGGCTTGCCTGACAGTAAGTAGCCTGCACTGTCTTGGCCCGTCACAACTCTCAGAACAGCCTGGTGGTGAGGAATTCTCCAGACCAGGAGAAACCGCTCAGCCGCTCTCGTATACTGGGCCTCTTCACCGAGGCCCTCCCCCATGCTGGGACTTGGTTCATCAACTGCACATAGATGATCCTTCAAGACCTGGCATTCTGTACCTCCATGGCCACCCGCTCTCAGAGCTTCATAGGAGGGATGCAGGTTCCAGAATGATTTGGATGGCGTAGGGCTAGGTGGCGAGCCACTGCAACCCACCCCTTTCCTCCAGCTCATAATCACAGACCACAGCCCTTCCAACATCATCACGCTCGTCTCAGGGTGAGGCTTTATACCTTGACAGCATCTTCACTTAGGAGACCTCTAACTTCTGCTTGGATGCCTCCGGTGTCAGAGAACTCCCTCCAAGATATATGGTCTTCTGTGTAGGGACGTGCCTAACGTTTTATTGAGATGAAACATGCCTCCCTACATTCCACCCTTTATAAATGGCCTCCCTGTAACTGTTATTAATAACAATACCCACCACTTACATGTACATGTTGTCTCACTTCATCTCTATCACCCCATGAGGTAGATACTAATATTAGAGGGTTTCACAGATGAGAGTGGCTCAGGAAGGTCTAAGTAACTTCCCCAAAGTCACCCAGCAAGTAAGTGTCAGCACTAGACAGGAACCAAGCTCTGTGTGGCTTTTAACCATGATGCTACACTATCTCGGTCACCTCTGGCTGCTTCTGTTCTTGGGGCCACCAGAAAATATTCCTTTCCTGCTCCCATGTGGGAATCCCTAGGCCTCTGGTCTGGCCTGACCTCACAGAGCTAAGGTGCTCAGTCTCCACCTCTGAACAAAACGCTCCCTGGAAGTCAGCCCACCTCCTACTGCAGACAAACAACCATGAGGGCAGAGGAGACTCATGAGCACACGGCCCACAAAACAACAGTCCCGCCCACTCTCCAGGTGACCTCACCCCCACAAACCAGGCTCATCACACCCACAGCTCTTCCACCAGAAGGGGAGTCCCAGGAGCCTGGGTCCAGTCCAGCCTCAGTGCGCTTGTTCTCTCTCCAGGGAAGGGTTAAAGAATCTGCCTTTGCCCACCCCAGTTGTCTATTTAGCACAAAAGAGTCAGCCCCCAGCCCTGAGTGATACGTGGCTACGTCTCTTTGTCATTGTGGATGTGATCAGCACCCTGAGTATCAAGGGCAGAGATCATCCTTGTCCATCCCGTGCATCATACCAGGCCTTGAGAGGCCGTTCTTGTCCACGTCTGGGTTCCTCTGGGCCTCTGAGACCCTCCTCCTGGAGAGAGGATGAGAAGGCAATTAAGCCACAAGATTAGGTGGCAGGATGGGCCTACCTTTCCCTGCAGACCTTGGTTTCCCTATCCACACAAGAGCTTTGGCCCGAATCCCCTCGAACTTCTGCGCTGGCCAGGAAACCAGGCACCATGCAGGGCAGACAGACTGGCAATGAGAACTTCTGGCTCTCTGCCTTCTCACTGAATTACTCTCATCTCTCCATTTATGAGATGTTTATATTTCTGAAAAGTGAATTTTAAAGCACTAAAATCAGATCAATTTTCTGTATAAGAAATCAAGGAAAAAAGGAGAAAATAAATCTGGTATGCTGGAAAATGCATGTTTGCCAACTCTGTTTCTACCCGTCCCTTATTCTTTTGCAAACATAAATATGGATATACTAGGAAAGTTCTTCATGCATTAAAAGCAAAATGAAAAATTGCTGATTGCATCCAACTGAGCCACACACCGCGCAGGACCTCAGCAAATCCTCCAAGGAGAAGCTCTCCCAGGCAGGCTGGCCACTCTCGGCCATGCTCCAAGCTCCCTTCCTGTGACAGCTTCTGAGGTGCCTTTCTGGGAGGTGTGGGCTCCCTGAGGAAGGGTGGGCAGGGGTGATGGTCTGAATTTCCCATGTGGCTGGTGGCATCAGTTTGGATGTGAAAGTGACACCTGCTGCTGCCTCTTCATCCAGAGGCCTCCAGGACATGCTGAGGTTCTCCAGTCCAGGTTCTTCTTTGGGAAAGCCTCAAGTCCAGAGCATAATTCCAGGGGACCCAAACAACAGATGGTCACATGGCAACTAGGGAGTGGAGCGTTGACTTAGAAATGACCTTGCATCCTGGAGTGGGCCACAATGACAAGTTTAGTTGATCACCAGTAGCTACTGACTACCACGGTGAGGTCCCAGCCATTTTTGTAGATCGTCGAAGCCACATTATTTTGAAATTAGTATGTAAGCATGCATACATATGTACACACGTGCTTATTCTAAAACTGCATGTACAGGAGTGTAAATTGGGTGTTGAGGGTAAGCTGAGCCAACAAACTGATCTCTAGGGAGGCTAGAGGAGAGATTTCCAAGGACTAGAACATGTGCTTGGAGGGAGCAGAAGTCCAAGCTTGGACTGGGGCAGGGCTCTAGCTGTGCCAGGCCAGGCACAAAGACCACAAGGACCCTGTCAGGGGTCCAGACAGGGACAAGTGGCTTGGATCTGAGAGGATAGCTCTAGGTCTTCTGGTATCCGGAGACCCCTTGCTGCCCCCCAGACTCACCAACTTTTGCTGGATGCCCAGAAAGAGGGCCATTTCAAGATGGTAGCTTCAATGGAGCCGGCTGACAGTGAGGCAGGCCTCCTCTCCTTTCTCCTTCCACGGCCAGCCTACCCAGGGCCTTCCCAGAGGAGAAAGACTCAGAGCACTCTGTCAACCATCCTGCCACCTCCCAAGGAGAGCACGTGCTCAGGCCTGAGCTTGCTCTGGCCATTCCTTGACAAGGGTTTTACTGCCACGAACAGCCAGCTGTGCTGTCTCGGGTTCTAGGCTTCTAGCAAATCCAGCCTGAAACTGTTCCACTGTGGGAAAGGAAAGAAAAGCCAGCAGCTGGAGACTGGTGGTACAGTGAGGATCAGAAGGGCTTCCACCGATTCCTGACGGGACCAGTTCTCCCCAGCCATCTCCTCGGCACCATCTCCTCAG